CCTGTAACTAATATAATGATGTATGTCAACTATAATTGAAAAATTTTAAATGATTTAAAAAAAGATATCAAGGATGCAGATGATGAATTTGATCTATGGAAGATGACCAGATATGAAGACTCAGCAGGATTCTAGCTAAAAGTGGACTAAGCAGTAGAGGACAGACCCCAAACTTGGGACCTAGTAGAGAAGAGGGCTCAAGGAGCCTGACTCAGGTTTGGTCAAGGAGAAAGTCTGTCTGAGGCTGTGATATCTGTCTCTTGACTTGATGGTTCAAACATCAGCTTCTCCTGTAAAAGATTTTTATGAGTTTACTTGAGCCAAACTGACAACAATTGCCAGGAAGCAAAATCTCAAAAAGATTGAGAAAATGCTCCAGAGAACGGCAGTTTTGCAGTTTATTTTATACATTACAATCAAAGGAGGAGATGTAGGGGTGGGTTACGTAAAATTCATTGGTGGTAGATTAGGGAGGCTAGGAAGCAAAGGAAGAAGGTATCTCAGATTGAATAAAGCAAGCATGTCAAACTTGCAGCCCTCTGGCCACATGCAGCCCACAACGAATATTTTTGAGGCCCAGTCAATATAACAGTCTGTAAGAAACATTTTAATAACTTAATTTCATAACTTAATTTTTACAATATCCTGTTATACATAACTAGAGGCCTGGTGCACAAAATTCGTGCACTGGGGGCTGGGGGTGTCCCTCAGCCCAGCCTGCACCCTCTCCAATCTGGGACCCCTTAGGGGATGTCCGACTGCCTAAACTGGCAGTCGGACTGCTCTCTCACAATCCGGGACTGTTGGCTCCCAACCGCTCGCCTGCCTGCCTGTCTGATTTCTCCTAACTGCTTCTGCCTGCCAGCCTGATCACCCCCTAACCACTCCCCTGGCAGCCTGATTGACACCTAACTGCTCCCCTGCCGGCCTGGTCCCGCCCAACTGCCCTGCCCTGTGGGCCTGGTCACCCCCAACTGCCCTCCCCTACTGGCCTGGTCACCCCTAACTGCCCTCCCTGCTGGCCTGATCGCCCACAACTGCCCTCTCCTGTCGGCCATCTTGTGGCTGTGGGCGCAACCATCTTTGAGGGAGGGACAGTCAATTAGCATATTCCCTCCTTATTGGCTGTGGGCACTGCCATGGTTGGCGATGGTGTGATGGTCAATTAGCATATTCCCTCTTTATTAGATAGGATTATTAATAACAAACTACAATGTTCACTAATGACTGATTACTATAATCATGTTGCATTCATTTCCCTTACACGCAGGCATATCATTTCTCTCCACGAATACTAGCAGCAAATATTTTGGCAGCTGATTGCCACATCATTAGTCTTGTACTGACTTGTTTGGTGTGCGCAACAGGAAATATTTTGCTTTCAGAGAACAAGAAAAATAGGTTTATTTGCATTATGCTTATGGTAAGTTAATGTTCAAGAAAAAATATTAATTTTTATTAAAATGTCTATTATTTTATGTTAACGATTACTCATTTATTTCAGCTCTTTGTATTCAGCATGTCTCTATTGAAATAAACCTATATTTTTATGAAAATTGAAGCTTTTGTTTTTTTGCAGCCCACATAAACTTAAGCCTTGTTTATTTGGCCTGTGTTAGCCTTTGAGTTTGAATATGCTTGGAATAAAGAGTAAAATGGAGAGACACGTACTTGTTTTACATTAGTGGTAGAGGATAGTCAACAATGAACACTTACAGAATATAGAAATGGTATGCAGGCAACGAGATAACAATGAGCTCTGAGTCTAGTGCTCCATTAGGAGATTGTGCCCTGAGGTGTCTGGAAAAGGAGACTACTCTGGCATTCCAAAGGTATGTTATCTTCGATGCAAAAATACATAGACAGGATCAATTTAGGTAAAGATTAACCTTTATCAAGGAAGATAGTGGCCTACAATCTGACTACCCGCCAGGACTCACTTTCAGTTAGAAGTTTTAAGTTCAGACCATCCTGAATGGTTGCTTTAGGTCCCTAAGTTTATAAGGCTTCCATGCAGGCCTCCCCTGGGCTTGTCAGGTTTAGTATGTAGCCCCTTTTTTGATCCACACTAGCCGCACATTGAGAAAAATCCAAAGTTGCTTCATGGCAACACTCCTTATTACCCTTGTTGCTGTTTACCTTTAAGCAACAATTTTAGTATCTGGTAACCACTCCTATTCTTAGTGACTATCCAAGGGCATTAAATAGATAAGAACAGTTCTGAAAACAATAAATGGCTATGCTTCAAATAAATTTTTAAATACTGGAATCTGTCCTGTATATACTGGATGTGGGTGTGTCAGAGTTAATAACTATGTCTAGGTGTTGCAATGAAACTCAGGTTTGGGCTTACATTCAAAGAATACTAACCCTTCCACTCCTCAATAGGAATCTGAATGTAAAGTAATGCCTCCTTATTTGACAATATTGAACTTTACCTGAAGGTTAAGAAGTCCACGCACCCATTTGTGAAAATAGCTTACTGCAAGGAACATTCTTGGCTTGTGTACCTATGACAAAGCCAGACACAGACGCTCCGAATTTCCATTCTTTATCTCATAAATTACTGGCTGAATTGCTTTGTCTGCACTGATGAAGAGAAGCAAAATGATATTAATCAAACGTTAGTTAAGCCTCTTTCCTCCCCATGACCCTGAACTTTGGCCCACCCTGAGCCAGCACAGCCACTCCTTGAGGGCAGTTCCCTGAAAAGAAGCTGGCCTCAGGGTAAACCTTCTCTTATCTACCATCTTATCACACCACCCTTTCATCCCAAGTCCCCAACCTGGCTCTTTCTGGTTTCATTCCCTCTTCCCTATAGAAGAATACCCTTTCTGCCCTAGCAGGTTTGGCTCACTGGATAGAGCATCAGTTCTTAGACTGAAGGGTCCTGGATTCCATTCCAGTCAAGGGCATGTATCTCGGGGGCAGCCTTGATTCCAGGCCCTGGTCAGGGTGCAGGAATCAATGTGGCACATGGATGTTTCTTTCTGTTTCTCCCCCTCCCTTCGACTCTCTAAAAATCAATGGGAAAAATATCCTCAAGTGAGGATTAACAACAACAAAAAAGGTTAAGAAATACGTTTTTGTCCAACTCTTGATGCTCACATGTCTTATGTTCCCAGGGTTCTCCCTATTGCGACGGTTTCCTCCACTTTCACCTGGGTAATCCTTTCAGATTTGTTTTTTATTTGACATAGTCTATCTTTAAGTATGACATTTATTTCTTTTAAAATGTTTTTAGTGATTTCAGAGAGGAAGGGAGAGGGAGAGAGAGATAACATCAATGATGAGAGAGAATCATTGATTGGCTGCTTCCTGCACATTCCCCACCCGGAGTTTGAGCCCACAACCCGGGCATGTGCCCTGACTGGGAATCAAACTGTGACCTCCTGGTTCTATAGGTTGATGCTCAACCACTGAGCCACTTCATCTGGGTGAATATGACATTTCTCAAACTGATTTTACATTGTTTCATTTTAACTGAATATATTAATCTGCCACCTTCTTTCCATTGCCACTACTCTCATTCAGGCCCTGATTAAACTCATCCTTGCCCATTATTAACTAGTCTCCTCAGCCTCCAATTTCATTTAATTTTTCACGTTGCTAGCAAATGAATCTTCCAAAGATTATTATTCCAATCTCAGCATTCTTTTGCACTCTTATTGCTCTTTTTTTTTTTTTTTTTTTTTTTTTTTTTTTTTTTTTTTTTTTTGCTCAAAGAATAAAGTCCAAATTCCCTCACATAGATTTTGTCTTTTCATTAAGGTATAACCACATCTCTTCTTCCTCCCAGGAACTCTTTCAACTATTTCTAAGAACCTGTTTTCCTTTTTCTAGTCTCATCATGTTTATCTGTGAGAAATGCTCACCTGTCTGAATTCAAATAATGGACTTGGCAACGTGAAGTATGGCGAAAATGAGACCTTTAATGTGGTCTTGCAAGATCAGGTGTCTGGTTGAGCAGGTACACCCGGAGTGAGGATCACAGGCAATTTATCCCTAGTGTGCAAGGGTCCCTCCCCTGGTTCTTCACTGGGTGAGTACTATGGGTTAACAGTTTTCCCCCTAGGTCGCCTAGGTCTTACAGTATTGTCTCCTATTGGGTTATTTAAAAAAGTGGGCTGAGGCCTTTTCTTGTTGTCTCCACTTCCCTTTGTCTAGTTGTGGTGGGAGGATCTTCCTGGAAAATGTGCTGCTGGTCACATACACAGTTCTTTGTTCTTATGCCTTTCCCCTCCTCCTCATATCCTATCTGCCCTGAGAAAATTCAGTAACCAACTGGCAACATGCTGTTAGTATTCTCTACCAAAAGTTGACTATGTTGAAGATGGATCACAGAGACCTATTTCCTACATACCCATTTTCTTTTCTTCCTTTTTTTAAAAAAATATATTTTCATTGATTTCAGAGAGGAAGGGAGAGGGAGAGAGAAATAGAAACATCAATGATGAGAGAGAATCACTGATTGGCTGCCTCCTGAACACCCCGCACTGGGAATGTGCCCGCAATCAAGGTACATGCCCTTGACTGGAATCGAACCTGGGACCCTTCAGTCCGCAGGCCGATGCTCTATCCACTGAGCCAAACCAGTTAGGGCTCATTTTCTTTTCTTGTGCATCAAATGTTTTTCTTCCAAAATTCCTTACTCTGAATTTCTATCCAACACAAATGTTATTCCTTCCCTGTTTGGGAATTGATCTTTTCCATTATTCTTCCTGGACATTGTGTTTGTACCTCCATTAAAACATTTAACACAGTTCCCCTAACCGGTTTGGCTCAGTGGATAGAGCATCGGCCTGCAGACTGAAAGGTCCCAGGTTTGATTCCGGTCAAGGGCATGTACCTCAGTTGCAGGCACATCCCCAGCAGCTGATCGATGTTTCTGACTCTCTATCCCTCTCCCTTCCTCTCTGTAAAAAAAAAAAAAATCAATAAAAATCTATTTACAAAAAAAAACCCAACACATTTAATGTAGTTGTCTTTTATTACAGGGAACTTGAGTACATTTTTGTTTTTAACCTTTCATTGCAGATTATAAGCTTCTTAAGGGAAGACAGTGCCTTATTCCTCTGGATATCTTCTCTAGCCCTAAGCCTAATTAATGCCTTGCATTTGGAAAGCTATTGATATTTACTCTTTTAATTAAAATGAACTGAAACCTATTCTATTTCCTTTGTGGTTCCATGTTACATTTTGTATAATGTGTATTTATTATACCTTTTGTTGTTGTTGATCCTCACCTAAGGATATGTTTCCATTGTTGTTGTTTTTTAATATATTTTTATTGATTTTAGAGAAGGCAGAGGGAGAGAGATAGACACATCAATGATACGTTAGTTTTCCCAAGTCCAGGGTTTCACTACAATCTGCTTATAGGCACTGCTTCTCAGTTTGACAAGGTCTCTACAGAGCACAGCCAACCAGCTGCAGGCCTTTGCTCTTCAGATGCTCATAGGCTGTGATCTCACCCCAGCGCGCATGGCTTTGCCCTTCATCGAGGCCGCTCTAGACCAGGCTCACAGTCTTCCCACATTGTCCTACCTATCCTGTTCCATCCTGTGCTCCACAGCTTTACACCAGGGGCCACACATGCTCTCACGGCCCTGAATGGTCCCACCTCAGCAGTTCCTAATCTCACTGCTAATGTTCGCATATCTGAAAGAATCCCCAATGGTTTCCCCTACAGGAGACCTCCCATAAAACACTGTAATGGATGTTTTAAGATTTGTTATGTTGCCATTTATTCACTGAAATTTTACCCAAGAAAAAAAATTTTTCCCCACAGAGCTAACCAAAAGCAGCTAATATTATCTTTCCATCTCTCCTGCTGGAAACTTGGTCCTGGGATACTGCAAGCCCACGACGTGTCCTTCACATCCTGAAACGGTGCAAGCAGACAAAACAGAAAATGAGATAAGAGCACACATTATGTTCCCTGAAATATTACTCGCAACCCTTTTTAAAAAAAATAAAAACTTACTTATAATTTTTTTAAAAAAGAAACATCAATGATAAGAGAGAATCATTGATTGGCTGCCTACTGCACGCCCCCCAATGGGGATTGAGCCCGCAACCGGGGCATGTGCCCCTGACTGTAATCAAACCATGGGCCCCTTAGTCCACAGGGGACACTCTATCCACTGCACCAAACCAGCCAGGACTTTTTTTTTTTTTTGAGAGAGAGAGAGAGTGGAAGGGAGGGAAAGAAACAGGGAGGGAGAGAGAGAGAAATGTGGATGTGAGAGAGACACAGCGATTGGTTGCCTCCCACACCCCAACCAGGGCCGGGGACTGAGCCTACGTGCCCTTGACCCTTTACTCTACAGGACTATGTTCTATCCACTGAGTCAAACTGGCTAGGGCTGTTTTTTATATCTTAACTAGAGGCCTGGTGCATGGATTCGTGCACCAGTGGGGTCCATTGGCCTGGCCTGCGCCCTCTCGTAATCCAGGCCCCCCCAGGGGATGCCAGACTGCTGGTTTCAGCCTGATCCCCACAGGCCAGGCTGAGGGACCCCACCAGTGCACCAACCTGTGTACCGGGCCTCTAGTACACATATGAGATCTTTGGTTAATCTCTTCCCACCCTACCCCCTTCCCTTTGAGATTCATCAGTCTGTTCCATGTTTCCGTGCTTGTGCATTAAGCATCTGCCCCCTGGTGGTCAGTGCGCATCATAGCTACTGGTCTAACGGTTGCTTAGGCATATATATATATATATATATATATATATATATATATATATATATATATATATATATACTAGAGGCCCAGTGCATGAAATTCGTGCATGGGAAGGGTCCCTAGGCCTGGCTGGCAATCAGGGCCTATCTGTGGGGCTACCGGTGGTGCGATTGGGGGCCCCCTGCTGGCACCCGCCTTGGCTGGCCTGGGGCCTGTGGGCTGAGGGCAGCTCCTGAGTTGAGTGCCTGCCCCCTGGTGGTCAGTGTGCGTCATAGCAACTGGTCATTCAATTTGCATATTAGGCTTTTATTATATAGGATATATATGTATATGTATATATATGTGTATATGTGTGTATACACACACACACACACACATATGTTTAGAGAGAGAGAGAGAGAGAGAGAGAGAGAGAGAGATGATCTACTTAATATAGTACAAGAGTTCAAGACTCAGAGAAGGCAACTGAATGTTGTTACTATAAGGCAGAAAATGGAATTTCCTAAATAATGATGATAATAAGAAAATAGCAAAGCTTAAGCCAGTGGTTTTCAGAGTCCTTGGGAGGCAATGAAGCATAATGTGTTAAGAGTGTAGGCTCTGTTTTCAGATATCTGAAACCAAGCTCTACTACTTACTAGCTCTGTGAGCATGAGCATATTCTTTAATGTTTCTGTGCCTCAGTTTTTCATATGTAGGATGAAGATAGGAAGAACATATACTTTACAGGGTTGTGAAAATTAAATTAGTTACTATCTGTAAAGCACATCAAGTAGTGCATGTTGCATGAGATCCAATTAGTATTACCTTTATTATCAAAATTGGCTATCCAAAAAAGGAAGTTTCTCTTTCTTGTTGCTTCTTAGTGATAATTTAAGTCAAATATTTCCAAAGAATGCATTACCGAGTAGCTGTTAGGGACAGAAATAGAATATTGGGGATTAGCTATAGTTATAAGAAATATTAATCATGCTCTGTTAACCATGATAGTTTTGTTCTGATTAAAGAAAGCACATCCTAACCTAGCTGGGAGTTTTACGCCCATGGGACATGGGAGTCAACCTTGGACCTGGGAATCAACCTTGGAATGAGGCCCATTCCCATCCTATTATCATGGAAAGATTAACAAACAACCATGTTGCCCAAACAGTGGAGTCCTGCCTACATTGCCTATAACCTGTAATCGTTATACCCATTCTTATTCCTTTTGTCAACTTCCCCATGTAATCTTTGTCCTACCCAATATAAGCAGCTGGTTTATGGGGGGTGCAGAGCATATTTTCATATGACCTGCTGCTCTCCCATACTGCCTGCATTATTGGATAAAACGCTAATATCTGATTCAACCCTGTCTCTGCTTAACTGGCTCAAGTAGTGACAGGCAGTCCAGACCCATTGGTTGTCCAGTTTCATAGCTACTGGACACACTCATTTGATTATAACCTGTGGCATTTCTGAGAATCATCAGGTCTCCTCAAAGACTTGATAAGGACCAGATAAGGAAATGACCTAATATAACCACTGCATGCTGGGAATGAGCCAAAACCAAATAATCAAGTTCATATATATTTTTTTGTGTTTGCTCCAAATTTATTCTATTCTAATTTTTAAAACAATTGCATTCAATTATGTAAACATCTAAAAAGCAAAAAGCATTCATAAGAACTCCACGATTTCTTATTGCAAACAAGGCCAACTAAATCCATGTACTTGTTTCACCATTCCCTGGCACTGTTTATGACTGCATGCCCATACAGGTAAAACCAGTATTCCACAAAAGGCCTAGAGCAGCAGGGACTAACCATAGTATAGTGTCAAGGACATTCAGTTACTTCCCAGGGACCCACCCCTTAACGTAAAAATGAAAGTTACTAAACTTTTTTCCAGTCTTGTGCATGTCATGTTTCAATGTTTGGTGGGTAATATCGTAACCTTGAAAAATCTTGCCTGGCCACGGTGGCTCAGTGGTTGAGGGTCAACCTATGAACCAGGTCACGGTCCAATTCCTGGATAGGGCACGTGCCCAGGTTGCAGGCTCAATACCCTTTTTTAAAAAGGGGGATTTGTTGGCTTATGAAATCCAAAGAAGGATTGAACAGTCAAGTGTCAAGAATGGCAGGGCTGCAGAGGGGGCCCTTAGGAACAACTGGAAGGAATGGCTCAAACTTTGTTAGGAGTCTTCAAAACATTTGGTTTCTGTTGCTGTCTATAAGACAGTTTCACTTTCACTACTAATTAGTTTTCTCTAAAGGAAGAACTACATCCACAGTGTTTCTGAGTATATGTTAAAGCTTTAGCCATTGGAGAGAGATCGCCCCAATCTATCACTTGTCCAAAGCACAAAAATTCTCAGGGAACCTGCTCTCTTGGCCCAGCAGAAGGTAGGTGCCCAATTTATGGTCACCAGAGGAGTCAATTCCACAGAGTGCTAGCAAGATGATCCCAGGTGCTCATTTTCTTGGGTACTTTATGAAAGACAAGAACCTTGAATATGGCGCATGATATAGTTAGATAGAAAGAAAGCAAGCCAGTATTCCAGGTAGGGGGAGGAGGCTTTGAATTAGTGATGTAGGTGGTCTATGAATGAAAGACAAGCCTGATTGGAATGGAGACTACATCCTTGTTCCCACTGGCAATAACACTGGATTGCTAAGGTAAAAACTGGTTTTGACGGAACTGAAAGGTATAACAGAATTTGTTCAAGTTGAAGAAGCCATTATAGGTTTCTTGTATAGATTCAACTGTGACTCTGAAACCCCAGTTTATAACACAAATCCTCAACCACTTCCTAGAAAGCTCCTTCCTTGTCAACTAAACTTGGTTTAGGGTTGTGGCAGTGGTTATAAAGAAGAATGGTTGAGCCTTGGCTAGCTGTTCGGTGGTTAGAGCGTCGGCCTGTGCACCGAAGGGTTTTGGGTTTGATTCTCAGTCAAGGGCATGTACCTGGGTTGCAGGTTCAACCTCCAGCCCTGGTCAGGACTCGTGCAGGAGGCAACCAAACGATGTCTTTCCCTCTCTCTTCCACTCTCTAAAAATCAATGGGAAAATATCCTCGGGTGAGGATTAAAAAAAAAAAAAGAAGAAGATGAAGAATGGGTGAGAGAATTCAGAGAAGGGAAACTCAAAAGACAACACCCACTCATCAAATCTAAGAGCCTAAATGATAGCATTTAATAGTAATATCAGTGACTATTTGAACATAAGCATCTTGAAAGCAGGTGTGTTAATAACAATGCATCTCCAGGAATCTAGCACAATTGGTGCTTAATTTATCAGATTAATAAACTAAATGATTCTCATAAACTTAGTTAACAAAATGGCTTCTAAACCCCTTCTAGCTCTACAATTTTATGTCCATTTCTAAATCCTGATCTTTAGTCTTCAAAGTCCTCAAATAACCACACACAAAAAAAGATAGGGTTTTAAAAAGGTTAAGATGGCCCTAACTGGTTTGGCTCAGTGGATAGAGTGTTGGCCTGCGGACTGAGGGGTCCCGGGTTCGATTCCAGTTGGGGGCATGTACCTTAGTTGCAGACACATCCCCAGTGGGGGGTGTGCAGGAGGCAGCTGATCGATGTTTCTAACTCTCTATCTCTCTCCCTTCCTCTCTGTAAAAAAAAAGTCAATAAAATATATTTTTTTAAAAAAGGTTAAGGTGGTGAATTTCATTTTATGTATTTTTGTCAATAAAAACTGGCCCCTAAAAGGATAGGTTGTTTAAAAATATATATTTGAAAATATTCCAAAGATATTTTATAAATATTTTAAAATATTTTATAAATATTATAAGCTAAAGTTTATAAAAATACTGTATGTTCTTTAGAAAATTAAATCAACTATTCTGATTAATGGAGAATTTAGCTTATTGCAAACATAAAAATATTAGGGACAAATCAACACCTACCAAAATGTCTGGAATGATGAATAGGTAGATGTGGTTGGAGATTTCAAGTCCTGAACTTAAAAAAAACCCCAAAAACTTCTGTGTTGGGAATACACATGTATTTCCAATCATTTCTGTAAAATAAAATAAATAAGTCATGAATCAGGTTTTACTTTATTTATTTATTTAATCAGATTTTAAGAATAAGAAAAGTGGGAGTCAGTCGGAGAGAACCAAGATGGCCGCATAGGTTAACGCCGGAGTTTGCTGCCTTGAACAACTACTTCAAAAGTGAAACTAAAAGACAGAACGGACATCACCAAGAACCACAGGAACGCTGGCTGAGTGGAAGTCCCACAACTAGGAGGAAAGAGAAACGCATACGGACACTCAGAGGAGGCGCAGTGCTGAAGTCAAATTCTGAGGTGCGGAGTGCGCGAGCGGGCTGGCGGCGGAGGGCGCGGTTGGCGTTTTCAATCGGGAGGGAGTCGCAGACTCTGAGCTCCAGCTCCGGGCGAGTCTTTAGGGACCCAGACTCAAACGGGAGAAGCGGGACTGTCTGGCTTCGGTCAGAGCGAGTGCAGCTTTCTCTCTGAGCTTTGCAATGGGTGCTGGGACTCGGAGAGGCAGAGCCCCTGGGGACAGGACTGAGAGCCGCCATAACTGCTCTCTCCGGCCCACCCTGTTGATCCTGTTCGACCCACCCCGCCCAAGCCCTGCACAGAGGCATTTGCCGGATAGCCTCAGGCAAAGGCTAGATTAGCACCTCCCTAGAGGACAGAAGTTCTCTCACTGCTGACACAGCTGATTCTCATAGCCACTTGGCCTGGAGGTCAAACCCTCCCTGGAATTAGCTACAACAATCAGGGTTTAACTATAAGACTGCGAACAAAGACCACTAGGGGGTGCACCAAGGAAGCATAACAAAATGCGGAGACAAAGAAACAGGACAAAATTGTCAATGGAAGATATAGAGTTCAGAACCACACTTTTAAGGTCCCTCAAGAACTGTTTAGAAGCCGCCGATAAACTTAATGAGATCTACAAGAAAACTAATGAGACCCTCGATCTTATATTGGGGAACCGACTAGAAATTAAGCATACACGGACTGAAATAACGAATATTATACAGACTCCCGACAGCAGACCAGAGGAGCGCAAGAATCAAGTCAATGATTTGAAATGCGAGGAAGCAAAAAACACCCAACCGGAAAAGCAAAATGAAAAAAGAATCCAAAAATGCGAGGATAGTGTAAGGAGCCTCTGGGACAGCTTCAAGCGTACCAACATCAGAATTATAGGGGTGCCAGAAGATGAGAGAGAGCAAGATATTGAAAACCTATTTGAAGAAATAATGACAGAAAACTTCCCCCACCTGGTGAAAGAAATGGACTTACAGGTCCAAGAAGCGAGGAGAACCCCAAACAAAAGGAATCCAAAGAGGACCACACCAAGACACATCATAATTAAAATGCCAAGAGCAAAAGATAAAGAGAGAATCTTAAAAACAGCAAGAGAAAGAACCTCAGTTACCTACAAGGGAATACCCATACGACTGTCAGCTGATTTCTCAACAGAAACTTTGCAGGCCAGAAGGGAGTGGCAAGAAATATTCAAAGTGATGAATACCAAGAACCTACAACCAAGATTACTTTATCCAGCAAAGCTATCATTCAGAATTGAAGGTCAGATAAAGAGCTTCACAGATAAGGAAAAGCTAAAGGAGTTCATCACCACCAAACCAGGATTATATGAAATGCTGAAAGGTATCCTTTAAGAAGAGGAAGAGGAAGAGGAAGAAAAAGGTAAAGATACAAATTATGAACAACAAATATGCATCTATCAACAAGTGAATCTAAGAATCAAGTGAATAAATAATCTGATGAGCAGAATGAACTGGTGATTATAATAGAATCAGGGACATAGAAAGGGAATGGACTGACTATTCCTGGGGGGGAAAGGGGTGTGGGAGATGCGGGAAGAGACTGGACAAAAATCGTGCACCTATGGATGAGGACAGTGGGTGGGGAGTGAGGGCAGAGGGTGGGGCGGGAACTGGGAGGAGGGGAGTTATGGGGGGAAAAAAAAAGAGGAACAAATGTAATAATCTGAACAATAAAGATTTAATTAAATAAAAAAAAAATTTCAAAAAAAAAAAAAAAGAATAAGAAAAGTGGAACTGAAAAGAGAGATGTCAACAAATAAAGGGGGGAAATTTAGAAAGAAAAATAAGCTATATATGCCTTGATAAGATAATGTGTATGTACTACAGAGTTGGAATAAAATAAAACAGTATAATTTGTATGTTAAGGAAAGAATTGTTTGGTCATCTCAGCCTACATGGATTAAAAATAAAGTGGGTGAGAGCGCATTTATTTTGTTACCTGGAATACTCACCATTTTTCTGTATTTTTTTTTTTTTAAGACTGTTTAGGACAAGGTGATTGAAAGGTTGGGCACAGAAAACATAGAGGGTGGAAAACTCATTATCTATTAACTATAAATTTTTATGTTATATTTACCATATTTCATTTACATTTGTGCTATGATAGGCATCTTTTTTTCTCTACAAAAGAGCAGAGTTAAAATCAAAGTCCCTAGTAAGAGAATGAGGAATATGATAGGCATCTCTTTGAGAATGCAGAGGAAATCCTATTTTTTGAGAAATTTAATAAAACTAATCAATGCAGGATATAATTATTAGGTGTATATGTAAGAATTTAATAAACAAATTTAATTTACATATCAAAAATATTCTAGTAGTAATAATTGGTAAATATTTTGCAAAATACAAATTTTATAGTTTAACAGACAAGAAATAAGTTGGGTTCCAGATAGGCAAAAGAAAATAAGTTGATTTCAATGAATACTCAATTTAAAATGAATATTATCATTTTTTATTAAGTAACACCCCCCCCCCCGTTTTATCAAGATATAATTGACTTAGAACACTGTATTAGTTTTAGGCGTACAACATAATGATTTATATAGGTATGTGTTGCAAACCTATTTGGCTGCAGACCTATGAATTCAAATAAATGCTTTAATTATTTCCCCTACTTCCAAAATCCTGTTCAAATCTATCCTTTTCCTTTCAATTCCCAGAACCATAGCCCTAGTTCTGGCCCTCATTCTCTCACCTGGTAACTGCAATCATCTAATTATTTATCTGGCCTTTCGTCTCAGAAGGCTGGCCACTTATTTTTGATTTTCTTCCCAGTTATCTTTTTAAAGCACAGTTTTGATATTGTCTCTCCCTTTGCTTAAAAGCCTTGCATCACTCCCTACTGCCTACAAAATAGAATCCCCTGCTCAGCATGCAAGGCCTTTACAATTGGATCCTATCTTCCCTTTCTAACTCCATTCCAACTACCTTCCTACGCTGTACTCTGTGAGCTGCTGTTTACTAAATACGTCTCTACACATTTCCATCCCCTCTTTATTCCTTTTCCTCTCTTCCTACAACAGGCTCCTCTATCTATTGGTTGGTATCTTGCTCTTCAATGACAATCCATCTGAACAGGATCACCTCTTCACACCTCTCCTGCTGTCCTGGTGAACTTGTTTCTTCTTCCCAGAGCATGTTGTACCGTCTCTATTTTAGACTTTTCTCTGTTCTCTAGAGTGGGCCGGACTCTGTCTCCCATTTCTATTGTGCGCATCTTGAAGGCAGGGATAGCCACAGCTTAACAACTGCAGCGGGAGGAGAACTGGACCTGGGAAAGCAGAAAGCATTTCCAATGACATAACTGCAGGGGAATTTTCCAGCCTGTTTCTTGGAAGAGGTCCAAATTCTTTCATTATAGGCATTCACCTTACCCAAAATGACTTCCTGAAATTAGAGTCCCGAGACTTTCTAATAAAAACGATTCTTTCTAGAAGTCACATCTGTAACTTGTGAGGCAGACACCAAGTCGACTTCACCAAACTAAAAACATCGACACACTGCATCCAGCCACCAAATTCTGTGCCCGCCCCGCAGCTATTAGACTTCATTAGAAGGAATGTCTACGCGTGAGTCAAAAACACCTGGGACCTCGGTACTTCGGTTACAACATTTGGTCAGGGACACAGTCTTGGCCCGGGACCTCCATCTCGTCTTGTCACCACTGGTCCACTGGCACGTGGCTGGCAGGACATCTACCCGCGGAGACAGCTCCGTCATTACTTGTGATGATTTAGTCGAACGACTCGGGGCGCGCGGTGGCGACTTTGCCTTCATCCACCATTTGATCCCGTGCCAGCAGGATATCCGGGTGCTCGGCCACCGGCACCGCCGAAGCGAGCCCCGGGATCGTGGCCTCTCCGGCCGGCGTTGCACGGAAGACAACCGGCAGCACCAGCCGGCGAGGGAGCGGGGCTGAAGCTGCGGAGGGAGGACGCGCAGCCTTCCGCGCGCCCAGCACCGCGACGCCCGGTGGGGCTGAAGGCGAGCCGAAGCCCCTGCACCTAGACGCCGTTGGCCGCGCCCAGGCGGCCGCGCTCCCTCCCGGGGAGGCGGCGGGGGGCGGGGCCCGGCGCGCGCCGGCGCGTGGAGGCCGCGGGCGGTGGCGGAGCGCGCGCCGGCGAGGGAGGGGCGCGCGGCGGCGGCTGCGGCCTGTGGCGCCGTCACCCAGCAGAACCCGGCGGGCGGAGCGCGGTGCTGCTGCTGCCACCGCTGCCAACGGCCCGGCGCGCGGGAACGACTCGGGGCTGCGCCGCGGGCCGGCCCGCCCTCCTGCCGTCGTCGTCCGGTTCGCGGACCGCGCGGGTCCCGTTACCATGTCGCTGAGCCAGCGCCTGGCTCGGCTGGCCGCGCGTCTGCAGGACCCGCAGAAAGTGGCCCGTTTCCAGCGGCTGTGCGGGGTGGAAGCGCCGCCGAGCCGCTCCGCCGCGGCCGCCGCCGTGCCGAGGGAGGGCGAGAAGGCGGAGGCGCCGCTCTCCGGAGACGCCCGGTGCCGAGAGCGACAGCCTGGGACGTGCGGCGGCCCCCAGCCCCCCGGGAGCGACCGCAATCAGTGCCCGGCCAAGCCGGGCGGCGGCGGCGGCGGCGCCCCCAACGGCGTGCGGAACGGGCTCGCCGCCGAGCTGGGCCCGGCCTCGCCGCGGCGAGCGGGCGCCCTGCGGCGAAACTCGCTGACGGGCGAGGAGGGCGAGCTGGCCCACGTGAGCAACTGGCCGCTCTACTACCTGTTCTGCTTCGGCACGGAGCTGGGCAACGAGCTCTTCTACATCCTGTTCTTCCCCTTCTGGATCTGGAACCTGGACGCCCTGGTGGGCCGGAGGCTGGTGATCATCTGGGTGCTGGTCATGTACCTGGGCCAGTGCACCAAGGACATCGTCCGCTGGCCGCGGCCCGCCTCGCCGCCCGTGGTCAAGCTGGAGGTCTTCTACAACTCCGAGTACAGCATGCCCTCCACCCACGCCATGTCCGGCACCGCCATCCCCATCGTCTTGGTCCTCCTCACCTATGGCCGCTGGCAGGTAAGGTGCCTGCCCCTCGCGCCGCGCAGCCCGGGGGCGTGAAAGAACGAGGAGTTCTCCTTGCTGTCCGCGGTGGTTTTCATTTGGCAGTTCGCTCCCCTCCCAAACCTCTCTTTCGGCAGGGTTTCCCAGTGCCCACACACAGGCCCGTTTCTAGGTTTAAAAAATTAAGTGATCGGGGAAAACCTGGAGACTTGGCCATCAGACCATGTTTTAATAGTCATGCCTTTCTTAGAACCCAGAGGAAACGCAGTTTTTTCGAAGTAATACGTTATCATTTTGCTTTTGCTTGAGTTTTTAAACGCGTTTTATCCTTGCGATGCACAGAATATGATTGTGATTCATTGTAATGTCCTTATAATGAATTGTCCGGTAACAAAGATTAAGTTTCACCGTAGTATGCGGTGCCGTCCCCCAAACGGGTAGATTCAGGCATAGGTAAAGTTTTTAGCTTTACTCTGAGACAGTGCTTAAAACAGTAGTATAATTGCAAAACAAACATGGTCAGACCGGGCAATGAAGTAATGACTTTTAAAACACGAAAGAGCCACCCTTTATGGCAGTTAATGGAGAAAAGCCTGAGTTCTCTTTTTAAGGGGTGTGGTTGCAAATTTGCTGATGTAGCAAATTTTATCTTCTGGACCCCTAAGCCGTGGTATCAGTTGTCGAGCTACTGTATTAGGCTTGTTGCATTAGCTTTAAAAAAATGTGTGGTTTTATTCTTAAAACGGGAGTTCTTGATCAGACTAGTGGGTTTGTAAAAATGGCAAGCAGGGTAAGCCTGACAATTTGAGAAGAGTATTTGATGGTAAACTTTATGTATTTTGCCCACTTCTTTTGGCCTCCCTCCCCCCCGCCCACCATGGTCCATAAGTTAAGCTTAAAATCTCTTTCTTAAAGATGCAAAAGTTATTCTTAGACTGCTGTCTTGTTTTATCTGTGTTTTAAATCGTAAGACCAGTCCCTTAATTTAACAATAAAGTCAATATTTATGGGGGATCTAAGGAGTCAGACTTTCTCCAGGTTTTTTCCATTACAGCATAAAATCATCTTACATCGAGAAGTACACATTCTGTGTAACTCTCCTTTATGACCGGCTTACTTCTTCCAGATTTAGTTTCATTTTAGATAAAATCTTGTTCCCACAGACACTTCTGTGCAGTGCATCTCTCTTACAGTACATGGAAAATACGCAGTGTGCATACTAAGGGTGACAGAGCTACGAGGGAAGGGTACCAAGGTCAGGCTTTTCTCCTTATTTAACTAAAGGAGATTTACAGTAATATTCAGATTACAAAGTGGTGCCGCCTGTCTTGTGTATAGTTAAATATCTCAGATTTTATTTAATCTAAATATTTCACAAGTTCAGGTACTGTATTCAGTTATGGTTGGCATGATACCCACTGTTTAGCTAATAATGTTTTTCATATATTCATGAGACTTTCAGGAATCTGTAATTATAGGGCCTTTTACAACTCCTCCTCAATGAGTAGTTATGTTGCATGCTATTAATATTAGCAGTCCAAGTAAGAGAAAATAGTTATTTATTGCTCGTCATTCATTCAGAACATGCTAACAGGAAGTCTGAAAACAGTACTGTACTGATGGAGTATTTACAGGATGCAGCTATCAGTATTCTAACATTTCAGGGTTATTTGAATGATCAGAATAAGCTTATCTTACAGTTTTGAACAACCTAATATATTTAATTCAAAGTTTGAGGAATTTGTATACAATTCTAGAATTTGAGCTATCCAGGATTTTAGAAATTTCGTAGTTGCAAACTGTCATTTTACACATGTGGAAACACCAATTACATTCAAATTCATCTTATATAATTAATTTAAATTTCTTATTTTACATTTTTTACTATAAATTTGAAATATACTTCTATACTTAAATAATTGTTTATCTTTTAGTTAGTTGTTTTGAAAGAAAGGCTCCCTTTTATGAAAGTTTTATGTTTACAATTGTTTGACTGTAATAATTCAGGACAAAAATCAGAATGACATTTTTTATTGATTTTTAGAGAGGAAGGGGGCGGGGGAGAGAGAGAGAGAGAGATTTGTTGTTCCACCCACTTATGCATATATTGGTTGACTCCTGCATGTGTCCTGGCCAGGGATCGAACCTGCAACCTTGGCGTATGAGGGTGACACTCTAACCAACTGAGCTACCCAGCCAGGGTGACCTTTTTTTAAATTGGAAAAAATAAAAGTTTATTACGTGTGCATGGGGGATTCACATAGACATGGTAAATCCATGAAAATTCTCAGACAGTGACCCAACATTGGGTATATAAAACTATTTAAACAAAGGGGAAAAGGGAAGGCGGGGAAAGGGGTATTTTAGAAGTGAGAATGGGCCAGGTGAAAAGGAGCAGAACATACTGGGCAGGAAAGTCCCCCAAGGCCACTCATAAGCAGTGGGACACAGCGGGTATCCAGACAACAGGCAGGTGCCTGAAGCCCTCCTATTTACCACACTTAATTCAAATTAGGGCAAGGCAGCACCCTAAAATACCCTTCCCAGAGCATGTTTTTCTCTATCTGTATCTTAGGCAGGAAAGGATGCAGGGTGGGGGTGGGGGTGGGGGGGGAGGGGTAGGGGGGTAGGGGGAGGGTCTAAGGTTCTGAGTTTTTTGTTTCTTAATAGGTGGTTTAAAGCAATATCCAAAAAGCAGTTTCAGGTTGGCATAATTTTTGTCCTTTAAGTCTTGCCTTTCAAATTTTAAGTAATAAACTTTCCACATTCTAGAACAGTGATGGCGAACCTATGACACCTCTGACATGCGAACTCATTTTTTTGGTTGATTTTTCTTTGTTAAATGGCATTTAAATATATAAAATAAATATCAAAAATATAAGTCTTTGTTTTACTATGGTTGCAAATATCAAAAAATTTCTATATGTGACACGGCACCAGAGTTAAGTTAGGGTTTTTCAAAATGCTGACACGCCGAGCTCAAAAGGTTCGCCATCACTATTCTAGAAGCTACAAGTAAGTTGGTAACTTGCTCCATATTTCGTTGATTCAGTCATTCAGTTTCGAGAATAATTCAGTTCAGTTAAATGTGTTGAGTCTCATTTCAGGGGTTGTGATGCACATGGGTTACCAAAGTGAGGCCTATATTGTGTATGCAAGCAGTCAGGTATTTAATAAGGAGTAGGTCTATGAATACAGAAGGAAAAGAGGGTAATGATCAGAGCAAATTATAAACCAGTTTCTGAGTTTGTAAGGCTGTCAGTCAAGAAAATTTCTGGATGTAAGGCTCAAAGTTTCTTTTGCTGGAATGAAGGTAGGCAGTCACTGTCTGATCTTCCTTTTTTTTTTTTATCTTTAATTTCTTTATTGGTTAAGGCATTACAAATGTGTCCTCATCCCCCCATTAGTCCCCAACCCCCCCCCCCCCCCATGCTCTCATCCCCCTGTTGTTCGTGTCCATTGGTTTGGCTTATATGGATGCATACAAGTTGCAATCTTTAGTTGATCTCTTCCCCTTACCCCCACCCTCCCCTATTTTCCCTCTGGGGATTGATAGTCTGATCACTGTTTCTCTGTCTTTGGATCTGTCCCTGTTCGTCAGTCTATGTTGTTCTCTATATTCCACAAATGAGTGAGATCATGTGGTATTTATCTTTCTCTGACTGGCTTATTTCACTCAGCATAACGCTCTCCAGTTCCATCCATGTTGTTGCAAATGGCAAGAGTTCCTTCTTTTTTACCGCAGCGTAATATTCCATTGTGTAGATGTACCACCGTTTTTTAATCCACTCATCTGCTGATGGGCACCTAGGCTGTTTCCAAATATTAGCTATGGTGAATTGAGCTGCTATGAACATAGGGGTGCATATCATATATCCTTTCTGATTGGTGTTTCTGGCTTCTTGGGATATATTCCTAGAAGTGGGATCACTGGGTCAAATGGGAGTTCCATTTTTAGTTTTTTGAGGAAACTTCATACTGTTCTCCACAGTGGCTGCACCAGTCTGCATTCCCACCAGCAGTGCAGAAGGGTTCCTTTTTCTCCACATCCTCTCCAACACTTGTTGTTTGTTGATTTGTTGATGATAGCCATTCTGGCGGGTGTGAGATGATACCGCATTGTCATTTTGATTTGCATCTCTCGTATAATTAGTGACTTTGAGCAGGTTTTCATATGTCTTTCGGCCTTCTGTATGTCCTCTTTCGAAAAGTGTCTATCTAGGTCCATTGCCCATTTTTTGATTGGATTGTTTATCTTCCTATTGTTAAGTTGCATGAGTTCCCTGTAAATGTTGGAGATTAAATCCTTATCGGTGATATCATTGGCAAATATGTTCTTCTATGCAGTGGGCCTTCTTGTTGTTTTGTTAATAGTTTCCTTTGCTGTGCAAAAGCTTTTTATTTTGATATAGTCCTATTTGTTTATTTTCTCTTTAGTTTCCATTGCCCTAGGAGCAGTATCAGAGAAGAAATTCCTTCGGCATATGTTTGCGATTTCGCTGCCTGTGGATTCCTCTAGTATTTTTATGGTTTCCCGTCTTACGTTTAAGTCTTTTATCCATTTTGAGTTTATTTTTGTGTATGGTGTGAGTTGGTGGTCTAGTTTCATCTTTTTGCATGTATCTGTCCAATTTTCCCAACACCATTTATTGAAGAGACTGTCTTGACTCCATTGTATGTTCTTGCCTCCTTTGTCTAATATTAATTGGGCATAGTGGTTTGGGTCGATTTCTGGGTTCTCTATTCTATTCCACTGATCTATATGTCTGTTCTTGTGCCAGTACCAAGCTGTTTTAAGAACAGTGGCTTTGTAATACAACTTGACATCTGGTATTGAGATCCCACCTACTTTGTTCTTCTTTCTCAGGATTGCTACAGCTATTTGAGGTCTTTTTTTATTCCAGATGAATTTTTGGAACGTTCGTTCTAGATCTGTGAAATATGCCGTTGGTAATTTAATGGGGATTGCGTTGAATCTATAGATTGCTTTGGGTAGTATGGACATTTTGATGATG